GAGGGAAAATGATAGTATGCCTTCAGGCCTAATTGAAGAATACTTTTTTGTGTATTTGTCCCCAAGATAAACAACTTAGGGAGTGGCTAATTTCATTACTTTCAGGCTGTAATGAGGCAGAGCATCATGGTAGGGAGCATGTGGTGGAAAAGAGTTGGTTATCTCACAACAGTTGAACTGTGGGTGGAGTCGTGGGAAGGACAAGGAATAGCCCTCAAAGGCACATCTACTCCTCCAGTTATCAGGTCCTATCCAGTCACTTCCACATAGTCCTCCTAACTGCAAACCAAGTTTTCAGTAGGTAAGCCTTTTTACAGGAACACTTCATATTCAAACTGTAATTGTCAGGTAGGGAAACCAAAAATAAGGGTCTAACAGTGGATAATTATGCCATTATATTGAGAAAACTGACACAGCTGGACATTCTTGGGTCATTACACCTACCAGGAGAAAGCCAGCCAGTTAAAGGAATAAATAAATAGCTCTGTCTCCCTATTACCTTGATGGAACTTGGGCTTATTCCACAACTCTCAGAGAAGGGAGAACAAACTAGTGTTTTTTCTACATGTCTGATTTCTGAAGTTTGTTGCAATGGTGTACTGTGGTGTTCTTTGTGTTGAAATCCTGCCGTTAGGTCCCATAGAAACAATAGTCTTTCTTGGAGACAGTGAGATGTTCCCACTAACCACCTTCCACTTCCACAGGTGGTCCTGTCTGCTTCACAGATGACATGCTAAAGTGCCTCCCCATATACAGGCTGGCCCCTTATGTTGCAAGGTCAGGCTGTTATACACAGTCTCTCCAGAACCCTGGTAATGTTCCTGGTCACTTTTTCCTAGAATGCAGGAAGGAATGAGGTGGGCAGATGGGTAAATGCTGGAGGCAGCAACCTTGTGCTGGAGCCTGCTGAGCACGAAGCTGGTAAAGCCAGCAAGAAGCATTCTCCTGTGGTTTCTGCTTCAAATTCTTGCTTGAGTTCTTACCACGGTTTCTTTTAATGACATACTATAACTGAAATTGTAAGACAAATAAGTTCCTTTGCTTCAGGTCTTTCAAAAAAAAAAGCTAAGTTCAAAACCACCCCCAATGAGACACAAAAAAATGTGGCATTGATATAATTTGGGTAAATGGTAACAAACTGAAAAACCACTTTCACTGGAAGTGAAATGTATGATTCTCTAAATTGTGGATTAGAGTTCTGTAAGGAGTGGAGCAAATCCCTCCAGTGAGTTAAGTCCTGCGTGAATGGTGTGGGAGGTCCTTCTGTATATGTGTTGCTTTTATTGGTTAATGAATAAAGAAGTTGTTTTGATCTGTGGCTTAGCAGAATAGAGCTAGGCAGGGAAAACTAAACTGAGTTCTGGGAGAAAGAAGGTGGAATCAAGGAGAAGCCCTGTAGCCCTGCCAGGGACAGATACCAGACAGAACCTTGCTGGTAAGCCACATCCACATGGCGATACAGATTAATGGAAATGGGTTAAATTATGATGAAAGAGCTAGCCAAAAAGAAGTTAGAGCTAATAGGTCAAGCAGTGATTTAATTAATGCAGTTTTGTGTGGTTATTTCGGGGCTGAGTAGCTGGGAGCAAGCAGCCTCCTACAACAAGTGAATATGTGTTGTTGACATGCACCCAGCCATGTGGAGGACTCAGTGGCCCTAGGACCCATGAGAAGTTGCCAAAGCCATTACCTATATTGGCCAGGCTCTAGAAGAATGGCAATATTTTGCTCAGCAGTCTAAGTATTAGTGTTTATAGACAATTGATAATTGTGCACAAAACTAGCAACCCCAGCTTCCTTTTCCAGAAGTTTACAGCCTAAGCTACACCTCACCTACAGAGCCCTTCTATTAAGACTAGGTAGCCCCTTTGTTTGTGCTGTACATAATGAACACACTGAGTTCCTAGTTGAGGTGATATCAGATTCCACCTAATCCCAGCTTTACTATACCTTTGTCTGTTGGTCCTTTCTTCATTCCCTCAGCACCCCATCCTCAGGTAAAAAACAAAGTTTAAACTAATGAAATCTTGTGAAAGAAAATATTTTTGCAGGTCTTAATGTATATTTTCTTCAAAGATAAAAGAAATATTACTAAAATAATAAAAATGTGTTTCTTCAATAAGAGAATCTCATTTGGTATGATGCTGACAATGTGGCTGTGTTTCTCAGTGACTCACAACACAGTCCTATCTAGGGTACCATCTTGTTAAGCAGTTTCATCATCAGCTGCTCAGACTCCAGAATGTGTGAGCTTTCCATATGAGACCCTTGATCCAGTTCTCTGCTGAGAACCCTGGATGAGGTTTCTGTGGAGTCTCCATAAGAGGTTTTATTTAAACTTCTGTGAAAGGTTGCTCTGTGAGTTCTTTGACGCATCCCAGGCAATGGGAGATCTGTGTTGTGTGGGAAGTTTATAAGGTGCTCTCTCTCTGTACGGTATCAGAAAGAAGTTCTTGTGAACAGCTCCATGGGAAGTCTCTATGGCAATCTCTAATGTGCTCTCTGAATTAGACCTGTGAGAGATGGGAAACATCACCTGGTTTTCTCAGGGTGGTGATTGGAATCTAAGAAATATCTGTAGAGCATGAGGGAGGGTAGTCCCTGTGAGAGATTTTTGAGACTTGGGGAGTCTCTCTTTTCTGACTATATCTGTGAGGCAGTCTTTGGGGTTTTCTGGGGGAATTTGGGACTTGGAATCTCTGCAAGCTGACTAGGGGTGTCTTTGGGAGAACACTGGGTCTTGTGGGGTGGTCTTTGTGTTGCTTTGGGTGTTTTGTGAGCAGTATCTGTGGGTCCCTATTTGCTGACTGAGACAGGTCTCTATATAAGGTTTATATGGAAGTTTAAGTGTGGGGTCTGGGAATGTATCTGTGTGAGAAGAGGTGCAACTATGAAATTGAGGCCTCTGTGTGACTGAAAGGTCTGTGTGTGGTCTTTGTAGAGGCCTCTAAAGGGGGTCTGTGAGATTTGTGTATGAGAGCTTTCATAGAAATCTCCATGGGGCATGTATAGGTTGACATGAGGACTCAGCTATGTGAGGTTCCCATGGAAAGTCACTGTGAGAACTTTCAGATTACAAAGCAATGTGAGGCACTGAGAGGTGTCCATGCTGTCTGGTCTCTCTGGGAGGCTTCTGTAGATCTCTTTGATGACCTTCCTGAATCTTATGGAGGATAGAGAATCGATGTCTTTTGTCTGGTTCAACAGTGTAGCTAATGTATTGCCCTTTTCCTGATTAGAACCATGGGATCTTGGTCCAGCTCCTCCACACTTCAGAAAACTCACCTCTTGGTATCCTGAGAGAAGCCAGGACCAGTCAGATATGATGTCTTCTGAGGTCAAGGTCCAGTCTATATTACCCTCTTTTTAGTTTTTGTAGTCTGGATAACAACTATGCTTCCAGTTTGAGGCCCTTCTGTTAGCCCCAGCTCCATTTTCACTGTTGGTCCCACTCTGGAGGCTAACTTAGTTGTCCATCTTTAAGAGAAGGCTAGTTACATCAGCACCTAGACTCCAGGGGCCTGTGATTACACTATCCCTACATTACTGTGATTACTATCCCATTTGTGGAGGTCAGAGCTCATTTCTGTTGGCATCAGGATCAGTCTGGTACAAGGTTATCCTCCATGGGTTATGAGGTCTCTGAGCTGTGCCTATTCTGTGTTCTGTGTGTAGCACAGCTTGGAACATGTTCTTCACATAAATAGTTCCTCCTCCTTCTAATTTTCTGTATGGACAGATCCCAGTATGAAGGAATGCTAGAAGCAGAGAATAGTGCATAGACCTCTCCTATACCCTTCAACACAGGGGAGGGAATACATTTTGACGAGGTACTGGCAATGCATACCCTTTCTGATTGTGTCTTTCCTATTGGTCTCTGAACTAAACAAGGACAAAGAGCTGAGGAAAATTTCCATGTGATTCCAAATCATCCCCTCCACCCTTTCTAAATTTTCCATTTCTGTACTGGTAGTAGTATACACACAACAGACAAGATCTCAAGATCCTTCATCTTGAGATCTATTGTGAAATTATCCTTTCTAGGATTAGAGATTTGATTATATTCAACATTAAAAAATTTATCTTTCCTAATTTTTTTAAATTCCAATCCAGTAGTGTTGGGCTGTTTGTTTGTTTGTTTGTTTGTTGGCTTCTCTAGGTCTGAGACCAAGGATCATAGATGGGATACAAGTGTGAACACTTGGCCCCTAACATCCTCCCCCTCTTGGCTTCCAGATGGCAGGGGAACAGTAAGGGTTCCTCATTGATAACATGTTTATAGCACCTTCATGTTTCTGTCTTTGATTCCAAGATTTTAATTTCTTTTTATACAGCCCTGAGTCTACAATCCCCAACTCTCAATCATATCCGTCTTCATTAATCCAGAATGCTTCCCTGGACTGGAGTTAGCTGTGAGACAGATTAAGGTAAGTGAACTGTAGGAGTCATTCCTCTGGAGTAGACACCTTCAATGGCATCCCTGAATGAATGATACCATCACCCTGACCTGGAAGGTGCTTTCCTCTGCTGTTGTAGAGCATGAGGAATGTAAAGAGGTGGCTAGCATATGACTAAATTTTTCTTAAGGCTGTACTGTTTCTACCTTTCCCCAGGAGAAAAAGCTTCCTCTTGTCTTCCTCTCCCCAACATTGGGATTAAAAATACCATCATGCTTGGTTTTTACATGTATGCTAAAGATCAAAACTCAGGTCTTTATTCTTTTGCATCAAGCATTTTACCAAGAGAACCATCTCCCTGGACACTGGAAACAGTGTTTTGATGTCAAGAGTTTTTGTGGAAGTGGGTTTTCACTATCTCTGCCAATCACCCATCCTCATTTATCTCTAGTAGAAACCAAAGCCCATATAAAACATGGAACAGAGAGAAACCATCACTCTTTATTAAGAGGAAAATATGTGTTTTGGGCTACATTAAATTTCTTGAATGTATTAACACGAGATAAATAATTTTTACATGGACCAAGTTTTCTTTTCTTTCGATTATGCTTTTCTACTAGTGAAAACTAGAGAGGAATTTTCTAGTTGGCTATAGATACTTCTCCGGACAGCACAGTGCCTAGGACAGCAGAGATGGTAACTTGAAACAGTTGGCATTATTGTTCCATTCTGAGAGGAACTTACTAGGTTCAAAGTTGTATTATGGGGCAAGGGGCTGGTATTCTGAAGGGTCTGTGGTTCATTACTAAATGGTACATTTTTCTGAGATGGTTGGCTTTTGATGTACCTCTCCTTTGTAGAATACCTTTGGTAGGAGGAATTGGCTGGGTGGCTGGGTGCTCTTCTTTGCTCTGAGCCAGAGACTGGCTTATGGCCATAGGAAGACTGAGGGGCAGGGGGTGGAGGCATTTCCCGGTGCTGTTTTAACTTGGAAGCACATTGTTTACGTTGCTGTATCATTTTTTTTTCTAGCATTTGTCCAATGGCTGTTGTAAGTTCCTGGGCCTCAGCAACATTGCTGTCCACGCGTGGTTTCTTTACTTGGTTTCGTGGACTCTGGACAGTAGCTGCTGTAGGCTTACCTTTCTTAGGAGGAGATTCCTGCCCTTTTATTGCTTTCTTGGGGTGAATCCACCGAAGAAAGCGGCTCACAAGTTTTTGGAAGGGGCTTTCTGGAGGAACCTGTGTGGGTTTTGGAAGGGGCTGATGCTTTCTTATAAATTTATCTTCCTTCTCCTTGACTCTGGTGAGCTTGGGCCCTTCATAATTTCCTTTACTTGGTCTTTTAGTTTCCTCACCTTGGTAAGGAGGTGCCAACACTTTGATTTGGCTCTTCGGTGAGACTTGATGGTTTGGAGTACTGGACTTCTGCTGCACCAGGCTATTGTCCCCTCCTACCATCACAATGTCACCTAACCCAAGGGAAGCCAAAGTGTCTGCAGTTAGCAGTGTGCTCCTGGGATGTTCAGGAAGGAGCACAGCTCTGGTATAGACCTGTGGCTGGCTGGCTGATTGTGTCTCCACACTTTGTGGAAACTCGCTAACTGTTTTTGCCTGGTGACTATGTGCCCCTGGGTTTTGGACACTGGTTCTTCTAGGCAGTAAAAGGACTACTTGGGTCTCTCTCTCTTTCTCTAAGACAGTCCCACTCTGAGATGGTGTATCCATGACTTTATGTTTGAGAGTTTCAGAATGATGCTTGCTCTCTGATTTGGTTGGCAGGACCTGTGAAGGCTCATGGTCAGCACCAGATGGAAATGCTCTCAGGGTTCTCTTGATACCCTTACAGGAAGGAGAGGCAACAAGGAGAAGACTCCCTAGTGATGGAGAAGAATCCTCAATTACCACCTCTCTCAAACATGTCTGGCATGGTTTTCCTAGGAACCCGACTACCTCAACTGCTGAACTGGTCCCAGATACAGAGGTGGTTGAGGAGGGCAAGTCACACAGTGCAACAGACAAGGACTCAACTTTTTTAAACTTAAAAAGATTCACAGGCTTGAGCATCTTGAGGGGTAGACCCCACCTGTGCTTCACCCAAAACCTTACAATATGTTCCTCCAGGGCCTGGTGAGTGCCTGGATCAAGAAAGGCAAGCTTCTGTGAAGAGTTCACAGATTTTTCTGATATCTTAGAGGATGCTAATTTCTTAGTTTCCATTTGGATATCAGACATGTAAAAACCATCGTTCAAAGCAAGCCAGGATCGACGCACACTCAGAGGGATTAGACCTTGATTGATTTGCTCTGACTTTGTGCCCACATGATCTTTCAGGGTGCTTTTTAATTTGTTTATGTATTCCGTTGAATCAGTTTTGGGGTCTCTCTTCAAGTTCTTCACTGGATTTCTTTCTGACTTCAAAAGATTTGCCCCTTGTAATGTTACTGGAGCTTTTTCCAAGTACCTGTTTGGATTTTTTGAGATGTTTCCAAGAATTGGTCCCAAATTTTTTCCAGATTCCTTTTTTATTTGGAATCTCACCTTGTGGTCATCCTTGCTATGGTTGCCCATAGACACAGAGGATCGTGAGGGGCCTGGTTTGTCTCTGGTTTGACAAGGTCCTGTTACTGTGTTCTGAAGCTGCATCACTTCCAGAGACTCTTGGATCTTACGAGAAAGGTCCCATTGGTGTTGAATGAGCCACTTTTGAATGTGTTGCTCCAGTTTCTCTCGGAGCTCACAGCTGATAGGAAAATTGTCAGGAAGGATAGAGACTGCCCAGTCTTGGGAAAGATTGGGGGGGGCCAAGACATCATAGACTTCTTGAGGTCTCTGGACCATCAAGGGTAAAGGCAGCCTACTTTCTAGTTTTGTTAGCGAGTGCCCTTCTATGTGTTGTATTTCAGTAGGGAGACACTGTGATTGACTTTGTGACTGAGAACAAGATGGTCCATAATCTCCATAATCACTTGTGTAGGGTAGAGAAGAGGGTAGTTGGGCTGGGAGAGGGGACTGAGGATGGACTTGATTTGGAGCTGGGGCCTGGAATTGGGGTGGAGACAAAATTAAGGGTGGAGATTGGAGGTCCAGGTAGGACAGAGGACGTGTACAGGAATGCACTGGAGACATCTTATCCCGCATTTGAACTGGATAAGCAGTTGAGATGACATTGAATAAGAAAAAGGGAGAAGGGAGAGTAGAAGAAGCCTGAGGGATCCAGGCAGTGGCCACTAGAGATTCACTGTGCAGAGAAGGGAGACCCCAAAAGAGCTGGTTGTATTTCTCTTGAAAATTGTCCCCCAAGATGGTGGGATATGATAGTTTCTGAGTGGTCATCTGCTGTTCTGATTTTTCTTTCAGGTTCCAGAAGGGTGGCAGGATAGTTCTGTCTTGCTTAGTACTTGGTGACTTAAACATGTTCCCTAAATAATTCAAATGGTATCCTGGGCTAATTTCTTCTAGAAATGATTCATCTTTTTCTTTTTCTTTCAGCTTTTCCAGGCTTTCTCTCCAAGCTGGAAATCAGGAAACTGGGTTATGATGGTGTAAGGTAAGGCATAAGGTTTTTATAGCAAGCTAAATGTGTGGGTGTCACATTAGAAAAGATTATGAGCTTAGACTCTAGGGCCTGCTCATTAACATCCAAGGTCATGTAATCCATGATCAATAGCGTTCTTAATTAATCATTCATAATCAGATCCCATAGCTGTTACCCTCCTCCCATGATCCTTCTATCTGACCTCTGGGAGAAAGGATGGGGTCACCTCAGAAAAGAATCAGCTTTACTCCAGGTCCCACCTCCAAATCCTAGTAACATTGCTCCTAATAGTCCAGAGCCCTCCCTGTTAGGAACACCTGTTAGCTGGCTCATCACAGCTTTCTTCTAACACAAGAGCCTGAGTAGGGTATTCTTGTTTCCTTCCCAGGAACCTCCCTCTTAGGCCTCTGCAACTCACCTGGGAAACTTGGTGCTAGCTCCTCACAGGCAAGCTAATGGCAGAGACTGACTTACCTTTGAGATCTTTCCTAGAACGAGTCCCAAACTTTTTCCTGTACCGACTCTGCCAAGTCATCTGCCTTTGAGGCTGAGAGAGAAAGAGATGATTGGTAGGTATAGATAGATAGATGATAAATGTTCTCATTATCCTCTAGAGAAGCTGCAGATACTCATGAATTTTTTAATTTGATATGGAATTAATGCCATTTCTGTGTGGTGTGTGTGTGTGTGGTTGTGTGGTTGTGTGGTGTGGTATGTGTGTGTGTGGTTGTATGGGATGTGTGTGTGTATTGTGTTGACTGCCTAGCCACTATCATAGACCAGAATAGTGTATTAGTGTATTGGATCTCTTAGAACTAGAGTATAGGTGGTTGTGAACTATGCATTCTGGGAAGCAAACTTGGTTCCTCTGGAAGAACAGCAAGTGTTCTTAAATGCTAAGACATCTCTCCAGCCCTAGCTGGCCTGGAATTAACTATATAAATCAGGTTAGTCTTGAACTCACAGAGATCTACTTACCTCTGTCTTCCAAGTACTGGGTTTAAAGAAGTGAGTGAAAAAGTGCAAATACTTGTTCTCTCTCTCTCTCTCTCTCTCTCTCTCTCTCTCTCTCTCTCTCTCTTTTCTCTCTCCCATATGTATTCAAGTGTGTATGAATATGGGAGACCAGGGATCCCTGTCAGTACTCTTTCTGTCACTTTATTTTTTAATGACAGAGTCCCTTACTAAACCTGGAACTTACTGATGCAGTTAGACTGGTTGTCCAGGAAACTTCATGGATCCTTCTGTCTTTGTTTCCTTAGTGCCTACAGGCACACATCACTATGCCCAGCTTTATAATATTGGGTGTTGAGTATATAAACCCAGGTCTTCATGCTTGCAAAACAAGCACTTACCTACTGAACACTTTTGTCAACCAGTTTTCTTTAAGAAATATAAGAAGGGAGATGTGGAGATGGCCTAGTGGGTAAGAACATTGCTGCATGAGAACCTAAGTTCAGGTCCCCATCACTCATGTAAAAAGCCACATAGTTGCACATGTGCTTGTAACCCCAGTGTTATGGGAGGCATAGTTGAGAATCTGAACCTGGAGCTAGGCTACGAGACACCAACTTCCAGAGACCATTTCCTGTCACTGCCTACCATGGAAGTGGGTTTGCAAGGTCTCTGTATAACAAAATTAAGGAGAGGGTTATAGAACAGAACATCTTCCATTCTTCTTTAGTCTCCTGATTGATGCACAGGCATTTGCACTGTGAGGCCAACCTTGGATGTCTACAGTAACTGTTCTTTTGCTCAAGAGTCAAATCTCTGTAGTTGCTTCATAGTTGCCAGGTTGAATTCTGCTGCTTGAAGCCAGAAGTCACTCTGGCCTCTGGTCTAATACCTTTTGAGGCTCAGCACAGTCCTCAGACAAAGCATCACAGAGGAAATGATTGTACAGGAGAAGAGAACATATGAACCAGTGCTCAATGCTTGTCTTATCCCTGATATAGAGGCCCCCAATTTATATGAAGAATGCAGGTCCTATCCATGAAACCATGGCATTCAAGTTCACCCCGGCATACCAGCATATCTCACAGACATACTGTGAGCTCCAGATAAATGCCCTGGTGACTGTTCTCAACTCTGCTCCACCAGTTCCCAGGAGATTTCTGCTCCTTCTGGAGATGTCTCCCCAGCCATTTCTCTACTTGATTTGGACAAGTGGAAATTTGCAGTAAAATGTGCCGTTGGGGCAGAAGAGACCGGTAAAAGGATCCATGTCACATGAAAGCCAAAAAGGGGTTTGTGGGTAGTAGAGGAGCACAAGTAGGGAGGAAGATGAGAGAAGAGAGGGGGATGGAAGACAGCAATCAACAAAAAGTGAAGTTTGTTTGAAGATCCCATCATTAAACCCAATACTTTTTTATGCTAATTTAAAAATCAAGAAAGAGATGCAGAGAAGGGAAGGATGGAGTGGGGGAAGGAAGAGAAAGAGGGAGAGAGAGGGAGACAGGGAGAGAAGGAGGGGAGAGAGAGAGAGAGAGAGAGAGAGAGAGAGAGAGAGAGAGAGAGAGAGAGAGGTATTCTCTGTTAGATAGATTGAGAGTTTCTTACCTTCATATTGGGTAGCGGTAGAGACAGATGACTATCAATGAAGGGAAGTAACAGAAGGTAGAGCACCAGTCCACACACAATGGCAAATATCATGTCCATTGTGTCCATCGTGGAGCTGAGGCTCAAGGAGTGAAGGATAACCCATGTCCACTTCCTCACAGAACTGGAGACTCCACATCACAAAGGGCTTCTGAGAGTGGGGGAGGGGCAATGCAGATAGATGAATTCTCCCTCCTCAGTCTGTTGGGTACTTCCTTTCAATTCCACCTACTCTATTTTTTTAAATTTACAATTATCAGCTCCCTCGTCCAAGGAATTCATATATTACCTAGTTCCTTTTCTCGTTTGCAGTTCTTAATTTGAGGTCTTTTAAAGTCATGGTTTTTGTTTGTATTTTATTTTTTCTTTTTCAAGGCAGGGTTATACAATGTAACAGCCTTGGCTGTCCTTAAACTAGCTCTGTAGAACAGGCTAGCCTTGAACTCACAAAAATCAGCCTCCCTCAGCCTCCCTAGTGCTGAAACTAAAGGCTTACACCACCGCTACCACACTTAAGATCAGTATTATCATCCTTAAAGTATCTTAGATTGGGGGCTAAGAGCGCTTGTTCAATCTTAAAGATTTGAGTTCAGATACTAGTGGCTACATAACAAGCTAGACCTCTCTGTCACTTCTTATAATCCCATCTCAAAGGGGAGTGGACAGAGGAGAGCACTTGCTAGAGTGTATAATAGTGATTATTAGAGGCTGAGAAGGAACTGAGTGGTAAAAAAAGGAGGCTGCTTTTGATTGTGCCTGCTATAAATATGTATTGAAATATAACACTGAGTTAAATTAATATGTACAACTAATACATGTCAATAAAATCTTTTTGTTGAAAGGAGCGTAGGCCCTTTCTTTGTCCCTCCCTGCTAGTTTACACCCAAAATAATCACTGTATTTATTTAAGCTGTATTTATTTAAACACTGCCTGGCCCATTAGTTCTAGCCTCTTATTGACTAACTCTCACATCTTGATTCAACCCATTTCTAATAATCTGTATTTCACCATGAGGTTGTGGCTTACCGGGAAAGATTCAACATGTCTGACTCTGACAGCTCCATGGCGGTTCTCCCTCTACTTCCTTTCTCCCAGAATTCAGTTCTGTCTCCCCACCTACCTAATTTCTGCCCTATCACCAGGCCCAAATCAGTTTCTTTATTAACCAATGAAAGCAACACAAATACAAAAGGACCTCCTACACCATCTTTTATTTTGTAACACACTTATTCGGGTTTCTTATCAGGGTAATAATGATGACTTCCATTAGAGAAGTTTGAAAGTGTTCTTTTGTCTTCAAATTTTAGAAACACTTGCTCAAGATTACAAAAGGAAATCTGTTCCTAGAAAGAAGCTCACAAAAATTACCATCTAGTGAGCATTAATAAGAGAGAGGAGGGGAGCAGGGAGAGAATCTCATACCATGTGAAATTATGATGGGGATTTGAAATTGGAAACCATTAGGGAGGATAGCTAGCATGTATTGCTTGGTCCTAAGGGAAAAAGACAGATACTTTGTTGTTGTAATGTCAGAATATACATGGCATCATGTCCATTTACAGCCATTATTCACCCTTACAGGGAGAAAGAAACTTCCTTTCAAATCTGAAGAACAGGAGAGTTTTTGATTCCTACATATTTTCAAGGAGGTAGGCAAATTTCATACTATAGGACCTAGCTGTACCTGCCCAGCCTATGTGACAGGAGCCCTAAGAAATCAGGAAAGCACAAAAAAAGTTGTAACTCAGAATCATCCTTGGTCTAGGATTATCAGAGAGCAGGGCTTGCTCACAGCTGCAGGTGGGAGGGAGATACTGAATTCTTTAAACTCTGTGAAGTTGCAGTGCATTTTATCAACTCTTTTGAAGGAGAGAGGCTACCAGGCTGAGAGGCCAAGGTTAATTCAAGTTCTGAGAAAGAGAAAAGGCAGCTAGAGGGTCTATTCAACATTTGTGAAGTATGTCAAGTTTCCTTTAAATGTTTGGTAAAAGGATAGAGAAATGGTTAGCAAATAAAAGTACTTGGTCTCAGAGAAGAATATAGTCCACTTCCTAGCATTCACATTGGTTGCTCCTAAATACCTGGTACTTAAAACTCTCTCTGGCCTCCTCAAAAACCTACATATATGTTAGTACAAATACAAAGACACATGAATATGCATAAATAAAAATAAAATAAACCATTAATTAAAAACTCACTTCAATGTTCAGTAGAATTCCCCATTAAAGCCATCTAACCTTAAGAATTTTTTCTTCTTTATGGTTATTTGGGGTTTAATTCACATTGTTCTATTTCTTTGAGATATAAGGAATTTTTGGATTCTTGAGTCTTTTTTTTTTCTCACAAAGACATTTTATCTCTGTACACTTTCCCCTTAGAGTTGCTTTTGCTACATTCTGGTGATAAGAGATTCCCCTCTGTATGGTATGAATATCATTAGTTAATAAAGAAACTGTCTTGAGTCCGTGATAAGTTAGAACTTAGGTAGGTGAGGAAAACTAAACTGAATTCTGGGAGAAGGAGGCAGAATCAGGGAGAAACCATGGAGCGGCTGCCGGAGACAGACATGCTGAAACCTTGTTGGTAGGCCAAGACCTCATGGTGATGCACAGATTAATATAAATGGGTTAAATTAATATGTAAGAGTTAGCCAAGAAGAAGATAGAGCTAATGGGTCAAGCAGTGATTTAATTAATACAGTTTCTGTGTGATTATTTCGGGAGTCTGGACAGCTGGGAGCCAACAAGGAGCTTCCTCCAACATTCTTTAAGTTTTGATATGTTGTCTTTCTATAATTTTTTGTTTTAGTTATCTCTAAGTTCAATGTAGTGAGTTTTTCTTTGTCCCCTCAGTCAGCCAGCTCCCAAATTACAACACAGAAATTTATTACTAATTATGAAAATTTGGCCAATAACCTAGGTTAGTTTCTATCTAGCTATTATAACTTAACCCATATCTTTTCATCTACATTCTTTTACATGACTTAGTTATCTTTACTTTGTAAAGCTCTTGCTGATTGCTCTGAATCTCCTGGTATCTCTGTCCTTTTTATTCCCAGCTCTATCTGCATCCAAAGTCCCACCCAGCTATTGGCCATTCAGCTCTTTATTAAAGCAATTAGAGTGACATATCTATACAGTGTACAAAAAGATTATTCCACCACATTTCCCCCTTCTTGTCTAAATAAAAAGTAAAGGTTTAACTCTAACATAGCAAAGCTATAAATTATAAGAACAATTTTTAGGTAAGAGTCCTGTTCACAATGTTCAGTCCATTTGTATTTGGCATATACAGAGAAAATACTCTATTATCTAACTTACATTGATGAATTTAAAGTTTTATGCCTAAACCATTTTTATCATAACTTGTATTATCTTAAAACTATCTATTTAGTTTTCCTTAGGTAAACAATTTAAGCTTATATGTCTCTCAACCTTATACAGCTTATACCTTTTCTGTGAGTTTCTTCTTTGAATTTGGTAACAAAGAAAGAACTATTATACAATCCTTTCAACATATTCAGTAAAATATAAATACTGGTTGGAATCCATATCTAACTTAATGTATTAAGGGGGTAGGAGAAAGCTCTTTAACAATTAGGGTACTAATTCTAGTCATTTTCTCAAGTTGTGTTTTTATTTCATTACCTACATGGCATTTTATGCTAACGTAATTGACTGTATACTTGAAAACCCTTTAGTTATACTCTTAGTATACATTCCTAAAACAAAACATAAGGTATGTATAAGTTGAAATGTATTAATCTTATTTTCTGTGACCATGAGTTCTGAGTGTCAAAATTTGTGTTTCTGGATTGCATTGCAATTACAAAGACTGCTAGGCCATACTTGCTTGGTCTCAACAATGAAAACTACATTGTGATAAAGTGTCAATTAGGGATGCATCTCAATAAAGTTAAGTTCACCAAAGGAGCTAATGAGTCACCCCTGCAGCCATAAAGATGTGGATTGAGTCAATGCCACGCTAGAAGATTCTAGATATGCAAGAAACATATCTTCATCCTCAAAGGAAGGTGAAAAGTAATTATGAAAGTGAAGAAAGAAATGGGAACCTCCAGGCATAACTACACTCTCTCTCTTACGTTAAAGCAGGCACAACAATAATAGTAGTTAGCATGTTTTCAAGTGAGAGACACTAATGAACACTAACGAAAATAGTTTCATACAACCATTCCTGATGATGCTCTTTTTCCTTATAAAATTATAGTTTTAGATACTTTCATCAAATATTTATTTTGTTAGACCATTGTTGGAGTTAAAAATCTGGAAGGGTGGAGGGGAAAGCAAGAGGAGAGATCTCTAACCATGTGCTTCAGGTTCTTCCCTCAGAATTTAAGACTCACCAAGTAACTAGTTTCCCTTATAGTTTGTCTTTAATCTCTTGATTTAAAAAACGAGACTTAGATGGGTGTGGTGGTGTACACCTTTAATCCCAGCACTGGGGAAGTAGATGCCGGCAGATCCTTGTGAGCTCAAGGCCTACCTTGTCTATATAACAATTTCTAGGCCAGCCAGAGTTGCGTGGCAAAAAAAAAAAAAAAGTCTCAAAACAAACAAACAAACAATAAAAATTAAAGAATAGGACTTAACTCAGCAACACTATTAACAGATTTCATAGCAACTGAGAGATGAAGGTCAGGAAGCCATCAGAACCAGAGTAGGGTGTTTTCTGTCACAGCATGACGACCAAGTTCTCAAATACGCCAACAGCAGTCGGACCTGTGCTCTAGGTAGTTTCAAGTCTTTTCAATCTACATCGACCTCTAGGACTAGGGCATAGTGAGCAGGGAGAAAAGAGATGGAAGTCATTAGCCCTTCTTCAGTAGGGCACACAGTTGCGTGTTGGAAGGCCTCACTAGTCAGAGGTCAAAGTCCATCATGGCCTGGCAGCTTTTTCCAAAGCTCAGAAACATGAGAACTCTTTCCCCAGAGAGATTTCCTGCTCTCTACCTGCCCTTATCTGGAGAATGTCCCTGGGCACAGAGGACATTGTTTGAGAGCTTTCTCTAGGCCTGAATGCCTGGTTTATCTTTAGCATGACTCTTGGGCCAGACACCATCACCAGGGCCCCAGGAGGCAAGCAAGCCATC